ATGTTCACCCATTTGTTTAATGTGGCTATAGATTTAAGTTTAAAGCTACTATCTTGGTCTTTGTCCAATCTATTATTCTAGTCTTTATTTTCCTGTCTTCTTTAGGATCAACTAAATATTTCTTATGATTCCACTTTATATAAACTATGGTTTATTATTTCCTTGTTTTTTTAGTGCTTGCTCTAAGGTTTAAAATACACATGTGTAAATTTTAGTAGTATCTACCATCAAATAATAACACATTTGACATATTGTTGAGGAAAATTACAACCTATCCTTTCATTTCCCCTATACCATCCTTTGTGTTATTATATATTTTATGTTCTATGTTATAACTACATAATATATCATTCAAAAAGAATCATTTAAAGGGATTTAAAATGAGGAAAAAATGCCTTTTATATTTATTCTCATAGATATTTCTAGTCTTCTTCATTCTTTGCATAGATCCACATTTCAATCTGGTATATTTTCCTTCTTAAGAAATGTCCCTGAACACTTCTGGTAGTGCACATCTGCTGGTGATAAATTCAATTAGCACTTTTATCATATTAAATAGCTTTTATTTTACTTTTATAATTGAAGGATATTTTCACTTGGAATAGAGTTCTAAGTTGACAATTATTTTTTCACTAAATAATTTAAAGATGTCACTCAACTTTCCTGCCTTGCATAGATTGGAAAGTGAAGTCTATCATTGTTCTTCTTTACATAAGGTATATTTTTAACCCCTGTAGCTACTTTAAAAATTTTCTCTTTGTTATTGCTTTTCAGCAATTTGATTTTGATGTACCTTGGTGGTGTTTTCTTCATTTTTAACTCCTTGAAGTCTGTTGAGCTTCTTGGAGCTGTTGGTTTAGAATTTTAATCAAATCTCATTTCTTTTTAGCTATTGTTTATTGCAGTATTCACTATGAGTTGGATCTGACTCCACAGCAGTGAGTTTGGTTTGGTTTAGTATCATCACTAACTTATTCTTCTGGGGCTCCAATTATGTATCTGTTAGATGGCTTGATATTTATTTTTTCTTCATTTTAGATAGTTTCTGTTTCTATGTAATCACATGTTGAGTGGCCATTTCTTCAGTGTATAATGTGATGTTAATCCCACTCAGTGTATTTTTATTTCAGATATTATATTTTTCATCACTTAGTTCCATTTATGGTCTTGTTTATATCTGTTATTTCTTCCACATTGTTAATGGCATTCTCTGCCTTCATGACTATGTGAAGCCTGTTTTTATCACAGCTGCTTTAATCTTCTTATAAAATAATCCTATCATGTGCCATCTTTGTTTCAATTGATTTTTATCCTATTTATGGGATATGTTTCTTTGCATGCATAGTAAATTTTGACTGACAGTCAATTTTTATCTTTTTGGGTGCAAGATTTTTTTTTTTTTCTTTTGTAAGCCTTTATATCATGTGTTCAACTTTGTTCTGGTATAGGCAAGGTACTTGGGTCTAGTTTGATTCTTTCCAGATTCACTGTAATGTTTTTTGGGACAGAAGCCATCTTTTGGGTTAATTTATACTTACAATTAACACAAGGTCCTTCTGAGAACTCCACCTGATACCCTGGGTATTACAAGGTCTTTCTACTCTGGTTGGTGGGAATACAAATTCTTCCCAGCCCCATATATATAGTCCTCGAAATATTTGGTCAACTATTTTTCAGTGCTTCTTTTTCCAGCTTTATGTAATTTCCTCTAATCATGTACAAATCTACACTCAACCAAAGACTAAAAGGAACCCTTCTGGAGACATCTGGCCCTTTCTCTCTGTGCAGCTCTCTTCTTCTTGGTACTCAACTCACTGCCATCGAGTCGGATCCGACTCATAGCGACCCCTCCTTGGGTTTCCAAGACAGTATCACTATGGAAGTAGATTGCCCAATCTTCCTTCCAAGGAGTGGCTGGTGGGTTTGAACCACCAGCTTTCTGGTTAGTAGTCAAATGCCTTAGGCACTATGCTACCAGAGCTCCCTTCTTCGTATGTATCTGCAAATTCTTATCACCTTGGCCTCTTGAACTTTTGTCAGTTTAACTCAATAAGGCTGCCAGGTTCTCTTTGGGTACCTATTCCCTACACTGTTTCAGGCAGAATCTGCCACTTGGCAGTAACCTGGCACAATCAAAAGATTTACTTTGTTTAGTTGTCTTGTTATTCAATGTCTGTTAGCTTCTAGTTACTGGATAAACCCAATTACTTTACTCCATCATGGCTACATGAAGGATATGCTATTCACATTGAAAATAAAATCATATTCCTACTGTTTCCAAAGCAAATCTTGCTTCATGGGCATTCATAAAAATGAAGCTGAGCCTCCAAACATCTTAGTAGGATCAGCTTGTTTATAACCTTGATTTGTGGAGAAGCCTTGAGTGTCAGAGGAATAATGTGTATTTGTGCAATTTCATGTTTCACTTCTGTAATTACCAATTGGGACTTAGGCCAGTGGGCCTATGATCTTCAGTAGGGCTTAATTTGTATTCATATGTTTAGGAAAGCTGCTGGTAGCTGTGCATTTCACTTAGTTTTTGACCCAAATGTGGTACTTGAGTATTTTGGAATGCCTTTTTAGGAATTTGATCTTAGCACAAACTGGCTGAGCTGTATTTTTAAGTGTAGATATAAGAGAAAGACTGTGATTCTAGAAGATGGCAAAATTAAAAATAAACATTTTAGTCTGCTTCTATTTCCCCTACCTCATCACAGTACTGAAAATGAATCACAGCTGAGTTTACCTACTAGCTCCTTTAATGGGTAATTAAGTGGCAAAACTATGATTTTTTTGCATTTAATCTTACCTCTTGCTTCCATATTCTTTTAATTCCTTACTTCTTCCTCCTAAATATGATATTCTGGGCTTCCAAATTGCTTTTAATTACCACACTCATTATTACCTTTCATGACTCAACATTTTGGTTCCATGTTATCACCTTTGTCGAGAACATTTTCACTATCTTGCTTTCCTGGATAAGTCATATATATCCTTCAAGGCTCAGCTCAGACTCATCAAATGAACTAACTTATACAAAGTTATGTGTTCAATATATAAATATATATTGAGAGCCTCAATAAGTATTTGTTCATCAGTGAATGCATGCATAAATGAAGCATTCTCCTTATTATCTACTTCTTTGTCTTCATCCCCAAGTTCATGGACAAGGACTGTAGTGTGAGCTCTGGAGTCTGACTCCAGAGGTTCAAATCTTGGCTGTATCACTAAATAGCTGCATAAACTTAGTTAAATTACTGATGCCCCACCCCCATGGCTCTGCAATTATGGTTGTAGTACTATCTCTCACATAGGGAAGTGCTTAAGAAAGCACCTAAGTAATCAAAAAATATTAGCTCTTACTATGAACAAGAGCTCATTTTATATCAGGTGGACTGATTCACCAGCTCTGTAATTCAATTGTCCCTCATATTCATATTTCTCAAATTATAAGCCCTTCATGTTACCATCAGAATATTACCAGGAGGTGACAGAAAGTGAAAATGACACTTTTTATTATAGTCACATAAAATAAAGTCAGTTTACACCAAGTTGTCCAAATGCACTGGTGAATTTAAGCTTCCAACTGTTACAAATTTTTATATATACCTATGCATTTATAAAGACATATATGTAAAAGATATATATTTTCTTTTAAAATAAAGTGACCAGATCTTGATATATAGGGGCAGAATAAGGAGGAAAAAAATCAAAATTGTATCAATTATATTACTATATTTTCACAATACAAAAATGTTATAACCATCCATTGTTTTTTGAATTCTCCTGAATTAAATTACAAAAGAATATTGAAAGAAGTCATGCAGTCAACTCAATGAATGACAGGTGGCTAATTTCTCTGTCTGTACTTGGCACAGAGCATTGGCTCTCTAGTGTGTGTGTGTGGGGTAGTTAAGCTTCATTCTTGTTTCCAGTTTTGTCTTTTTACTAAGATGTTAAGTAGAGAAATAAATGAGACATCTCTAAATCCTCTACTAGCTTTCAATATACAATATGTCCCTGGTTATAAATTTGTGGACTTTCAGATACCTTTTACTTGTCCCTTCATATTTTATACATTTGTTTATAAATTTGCCCTCATCTATGAACGGGCGATTGAACCAACCCCTACTCACAACAAATTCTTCAACACACTCACCTCTACTTGCTGCATGTGCAGCTTTTAAAGTAAGGCTGAATATGTGTCTATTGCAACTTACTTACAATTCAACTTAAAGACATACTTAGACATGTTCTTGTTAGTAACTGCTGTAACTGCTAGTAGTCAGGGTTTGGTGAAAATATTCCTAATGTCTTTGTTACACACTGAGATTGGTAAGAAATAACCTAGAAGGATATGGTCTGAGGGATGATGCTGCCATTGTTGTTGTAATTTACTGTTTGAAGTAAGGTAGAAGAATTAGAGCACAATGACCTATTGTGCAACTGAAATGGAGCTCTATTACATAGGAAAACCTTAGTGTGAACATGTTTGAATTTAGGAACCAAATAACACAGGATTAAAATGTATGATTTAAGAGAAGTCAGAAGACCTTCACTTCAGATAAGAACTGGTGCTCTATTTCCTGCTGCAGTAACTGAGTTACTCTCTGATTTTTAGAGTTACTCTCTGATTTTTAAGGGTAATCATTCGTAGTGTTTGATGAGAAATGAAATTTAAGAATGTCTTTTAAAGGACTTCAACTTAAGCAAGGTGATGATGCCTAAACATAGCTTAATATGAACTCAACTATTCAAAAATTGCGTATTCAAACTGCATTAAAGTACATCTATACCTCTATTTAAGCAGGAAAGAGGGAGATATTGCAAAAAACACTCTGAAACCTCCCATTTCATGGGTGGCTAGGAACAGTGGGAAACCCAGACGTTTCGCAAAGTCAAAATAAGGAATGAAGTGTTTTATTTTTGGAAGGAAAGAAATGAGAGTGTTTCCCATTACCTGACCCGCCTCAGTGGGATCTCCACAGGGACAAAGCTGCCTAACTACTGATTTTGGTGAGCATCTTGTTAATGGCCTGCTTGACATGTGTGGTAGAGCTGCGACGCCTTGTCTTGCCCTGGGCCATCCTCCGGCGACGCACCTCCCGGCACAGCTCGTGGAATATCTCAGTGATGTTTCCTTCTCCGGTGCATGCAGAACACTCATAAAAAGCACAGGCCAACTCTGTGGCCAGCTTTTCCCCTTCTTCTGTACTAACCTGTCGGGAGTGGTCCAAGTCTGCCTTGTTCCCAACCAATATAAGAGTCACATTCTTGGGCTTTTTGATCTCATCCAGGATATTCTTAAGTGGCAACACTTCCTCAAAACTTCCTCGGTCAGTAATGTCATAGACCAGCACAAAGCCTTCCCCCCATCGCATGTGTCCTTCTCTCTGAATGGTGTCTTCCTGTGAGCAAAGAAAGAGCAGGTGGGAAACCTGAAAGTAATTGTAATGTGTAGATGCTGCTATTGTTAATCGTGATTCCTTAATTACTTTTCTTTATATTCAGTGTAGTGGTTAGCTGAAATCAAACCCGTGGCACCTAACAACAACATATTCATTACATTAAAATTACTTGGTAGTCTATCTGTACAGCTTACTTTCTCAATCAGTTTGGAATGCAAGCATTGTTTACTCATACCAAGATATTTCAGGCAACTAACTTTAATTCATAGACTTCTGCTGTTTTTTCTTGCCAAATTGTTAAATCTGATCACAGCCTCTATAAAGAAACAAACTACTGAACATACTGCCCCAGACTTTTAATCACAACTAATAATTTGGCAAATTGGTACTAGACAGTTATTAACCTACCCTTTAGGGATGAAAATTAGCCACAGCTCAGTGATATTTTTTTTCTTTAATCTTCTCTTTATTCACAAGATAGACAATTAACCACCAGGGGTTGTATTAACAGCAAATAATTTAAATAATTTTATATAGAGAGTCAAATGTGAAAGAGGGTTGTTGTTTTTCCCCTCTACTTAATGACACTCATTTAAAGTGATTCTCAAAGGAAGTGATCATTCTTTCCTATGAAGGAGCATGTGCGAGGTGGAAAAGTATACAATTAGTTAGTTGTAAGACATTTCTTGGATTAAATATTTTAATTCTTATAGGAGTCCTATGTCACTGATAAAGTACCATGGAAAATTCAGCCTCCTGTCATTCATTCCAGTCATCATTCCTATCTTTGGGGATTAAACTGATCTAGGATATGAATGAGTTACAATGTCAGAACTGACTGAGTTCAAACCAAGTTTATAGAAGTTTTTTTTTGTTGTTAAAAAAATACTTGTTAATAACATGATTCAGACTTTCAATAGGGTGTTTGTTGGTGAGATTATTATTATAAAATTGATTCCTAGAAAAAGTAGTCTGAAGAAACAAACACCAGAGCCTTAGTATTTGACTTACTCTATAATTTTTCACTGTTATACTGATCATTTTCTATTTTTGATATGAATCTTTAAGAGAAAAAGATGTAGTATAATTCATGTTAGAATAGTAAAGGTTCTAAGAATTAGTAAAGATACCTGTTTATCTGAGCATTTCCAAAACCCATTTGAGATCGAATACCTATTAACGTCTCATGAAACATAAGCGTTATCTCTTGGACAACATCACATAACTATTACGGTATTTCCAAAATCTCCTTATTGACACAGGATGCATATAAAGCTATAGATACATTAACAAATAAAATGGCTAGAAAATTAGAGAAAAAAGTCTTTAGGTATCATAGTATAAAAGTTAATTGAAGGAAAGTGTCTTAATTTTGTTCATATTATATATGACTCATTTGATCCATAAAATAGTTTAGTTGAAGTCTTTATTCACCTGTCCAGCAGTATCTAGTATCTCCATGGAAACAACTTCATCATCAATGGTTGCTTGGTGTCTGTAGGTTGACTCTGTCAAAATGAGGAAAAAATGAGGAAAAAGAGAAGAATGTAAATAAGCATGAGTTAATTTTATTCTTAATACGTCTATTTTATAGCAGACAAGAGTACACAGTCTAGGAAAGAAAGGATGAATGTGTAGAAATGCGGCATTTTTGTATTCTCTCAGCTCCTGGAAGCAACAAATTCTAATTTGACTTTCAGGGCACAGCAGGGGAGGTTTAGGTATCTTTTTTCTTCTCAGTCATTTCCTCTTAAGACTCAATTTTCTTCTCCTGTGAGGCCAGCTTGCGTGAGGCCAGCTTGCTGGTGGTGCTCTCTTCCTTCTAAAATAAGGCCTTTATATATTCTGCCTCTATGCTCCTAAAATATATATACACACACACGGTTTCTGGAAATCACTCTTAATTCCTATTGATGCAAGATGGTAATTTCCTTCTAGACCTCAACACTGGAAATAAAAAACTGAGACCCTCTGTGTGCCAGAAGGTCGATGGATCCCAATGTTGGTGAGAACAGTAACTCAAAGTAGAGGAGGGCTGGGCAGCATAGAGGAAATAGTTCTCTTGCGCAGATTGCATCTTCAAGGTACACAGATGGCAGGATCTTAGTACCAGCCAGACATTTAATATCAGACAGGTCCCTAAGCCCTGCTATGGTGAGAAATCAGTAGGTGCCGGGAGGCCTGAGTGTGCCCCTAACCACATGAAATACACACCAGCAGTTAAAACTTTCAGCTGGTGGTGCTGTGGTTAAGGTAATAGACTGCTAACCAAAAGATTCACAGTTTGAGCCCACCAGCTGCCCCATGGGAGAAAGATGAGGCAGTCTCCTCTAAAGATTTACAGCCTTAGAAACCCTATAGGGGTCGCTATGAGTTGGAATCAATTTGATGGCAGTGGGTTTGGTGCTGTTTTATGTGGAAACTAGAACAGCTGAAATAAAGAGCTCAATTAATGACTGAATGATGAAGTTCACATTGAGGATATCACTTATATGTGCCTTCTTAGGTCCTTGAAGGTATTAGTAACTTACAAGAAATAATGAAGAACAAAACTAGACCTTATATTGTCTCTTAGTAGTATAAGGAGAGGAGAAATTACATAGACAGTATAAATATTTGAGATTGTCTCTAAGATTTTCCTTGTAATGGCCCAGTCTTACAGATATAAAGAACTCACAGGACCTGTAAGAAAAAAAGTTCCCTGTAACACCTTATTATGATAGTTTAGGTGTGGATCTAGAGAAAAATCTGTCTTGGAAGGTATGTGGCCAGAATGCTCCTTTAAGGATGGTAAGACTTTGGCTCATGTACTTTGGACATGTTATCTGAAGAGACCAGTCCCTGGAGAAGGACATCCTATTAAAGTAGAGGGTGAGCAAAAAAAAAAAGGAAGACCTTCAATGAGATTGATTGACACAAGTGGCAGCAACAATGGGCTTGAACATGGCACAGACCCAGAGAATGGTTTGTTCCATTGTTTAGGATTGCTATGACTATGAGTCAGAACTGACTCAATGGTACCTAACTACTAGATAACTACTAGAATAGGATAGGGGGGAAAAAAGTCTACAAAGAGAAAAGACAAAAATTAATATTGCACCTGTCTTTCATGAAACTAGATTGAAGATGTCCATGGAGTGAAACAAAGCAACAAAAATCACATGAAAAGCAATTCAGAAAGATAATATCAGTTTATTTGAGTGGAGGTGGAAAAAAAAACCAGAGGCAGTTTTGATTTTGAGTAAGCTAGATATTCAACTCATCAACTCAAACAGGGGAAAACAGCAGAAAAAAAACAAACTTACTGGTGTCAGGTTGGACCCAACTCATAGTGACCCCTCCTCATAGTGACCCCTCCTTGGGTTTCCAAGGCAGTATCACTACAGAAGTACATTACCCAACCTTCCTTCTGAGGAGCGGCTGGTGGGTTTCAACCGCCAGCCTTTTCGTTAGCAGTCACATGCCTTAGGCACTAGGCCACCAGAGATATCAAACCCTGAGATTCTGTGTGGGAGGTAAGGTATGGGCAGATCAGTGCAACAAGAAATGCAAAAGTAAACTAGATCAATAGCTGTTAAATCAATTGAAGTGTTTTTTTCTCACCTTAAAAGCAGCTGTGCCCAGATAGCTTGACAGGAGATTTCTACTGAACATTTAAACAAGTTGTCTTAGAAAAAGTTGATCCCAACTCATAGCAACCCTTCCTGGGGTTTCCCCAAGTCTACCTTCCATGAACTGCCAGCCTTCTAGTTATCAGTCAAATGCCTTAGGCACTATACCACAAGCTCTCAAATTTCTATATGAGGTGTTATGTTGACACCAGTAAGTGGTTAGTAGTACAAGAATAATGAGAACAAGAAAAATTCTCTTTTGATTTTAAATACAGATTCAACAATTCTAAATAAAATATCCAGTTGAATCCAAAAATACATGGAAAGGAAATCATAGAAACTTTAGAATACATGGAAAGGAAATCATAGAAACTTTAGACTTCAAAGTCAAGAACAACAACAAATATGTGCTCAACATAATAAAGTATAAGCCAATGCAATAAAGTAGGAATAAGAGATAGAAAAGGAACTTTAACAGGTTATGGATTTTATTATGGATTTTAAGGTCATTATGGCCTCGGGCCTAAGGCAGTTGCCTGCCAAGCGCAAGGCTGGGCAATCTACTTCCACTTCCATAGTGATACTGTCTCAGAAACCCAAGGAGGGGTCGCAATGAGTCTCGGGTCCGGTTCGACTTGACAGCACATTACAAACATTCTTTTTTGCCTTAGGCACACAAAAACATTCTATAGCAGCAAAAGCCACCTAGGAAATGTAATAGGAGTTGTTTGTTTTTATGTATCTAGGAAGTAAAGTGAAAAAAAGAAACAAACTATTCACAAAGATTTGAATAAACAAATTATCAAAGGGATCAGTAACAAGTTATTAAGTTACTTTTGAGGAACTCAACAAACTTACCTAAAGTGATATAACACTACTCCAAACAGTATTGTATTTTACTTGGAAGCAGCAGTCAAGAAACCCGATGATTTGCATTGGGCAAATCTGTTGCAAAAGACCTCTTTAAAGTATTTTAAAGTATTAAAAAGCAAAGATATCCACTTTGAGGACTAAAGTGCACCAGACCCAAGCCATGGTATATCTTATTTATCGCCTACTATGAAAGCTGTATGATGAAAAAAGTACTGAGGCTGGTGAGTCGTCTTCTCATGTGCTTTGGACATGTTATCAGGAGGGACCAGTCCCTGGGGGAGGATACCATGCTTCATACCTTGCTTCTAAAGTAGAAGTCAGTGAAAAAAAAGGAAAACCCTCAATGAGATGGATTGACACAGTGGCTGAAACTATGGCTCAAGCATAGCAGCTACTGTGAGGAGACTTAAGACTGGGCAGTGTTTTTTTTTTTTTTTTTGTAAAAATGGACTCAGTGGCATTGAATAACCTCAAACAGTTTTGCTTTAATATAAGCATGGCGTCACCAAGGCTTAAATAAAAATAGAACTTGGCATATGGCTGAGTTGACACCACAAACTAGTGGGGGAAGGACTAGTTAGTGGGGGAAGGAGGAGAGTGGTCAATAGATTTCTGTGTAATATGGAATAACTCTCAGCAAGAAATCAATTAATATATAAAATAAAAAAAGGAACATTTGCAAATTAAATGAGGATGGGGAAACAGAATATAATAAAAAAGATGCCAAAAGGAAATTTAGGAAATTTTTTAGGAAATTTGCATAACAGGAAGCTCAAATACCTAAGAAGTTTACGTAAAATGATGTTCTACCTGGCTATTAACCAGAGAAAAGCTTCTGAGATGATTTTACAACCCTCTGGTTGGTAAAAATTAGATATTGTAATACTTAAATTAGATATTATAATACTTAACTAGGATATATGAAGTATTCTTATACCACCTTATACCACCAAAGGGAATGTTGAGGGCATCTCAAGAGTCTTAAAGGTATGTACATCCTAAGATCCAGGCATCTGCCTCTCAGGGATAATAGTGCAGAATAACTTGGCCCAGGTCATTAATAACAGTGATGCTTGGACAGACAACATCAATTCCTGGGCTCCATTCCAGACCTACTCAGGGTAAGACCAAAGCAATCTGTATTTTGAGAACCACTAATTCAAAGGAATGTTTATCCCCCTGGTGTTCATTACTAGGAGGAGAAACAGGTTTCTTGTGGGATACTAAGAAATTCTATACATAAAACTATGATTATACATAGCACCATGTATGGGATCTTAAAAATCAAAGATCGAGTTTTAAAAACTAGAAATAGATCTGTAACATAACATGGCCATAACTTTAGAATATACACTTATTATTTGAATAAGTATTCTAAATGTTTGTATTCTAACTCATTTATTTTATGAAATATGTATTACTATTAGCTCCATTTACAAGAGGAAGATGAGGCACAGCAAGATTGATTAACTTGTCCAAAGCCACATGGATGCTAAGTAGTAGAGAGTAGTAGAGGGGAGATTTATGGATGCTAAGTAGTAGAGAGTAGTAGAGGGGAGATTTGAACCCAGGCAGATTGCTTGGCTGCTCAGGCTTTTATTTAAACAGTATGTTAAGTATCAAAGATCTATGGGAAAGAGAAGGGCAGTGGGTATCAGAATAGGAAAACAAAGTGAAACAATATAAAAGCTACACACATACCAGTAATGACATGGTGCCATGAACAGACTAGTACAATTAACTCAATTCTCTACCTGTCTAAAATACCTGTATCACTAACCAAATAAACTTGGAGGTTTTTGTCCTGTGGGGTAACCTGTAAGCCAGTGCATTTTTTTTTTCCCCTATATATTCAACCATTGATCCAACTCATATCTGACTTCATTTCTTCTTATCACTATTTTACAGTCCTTTTTGACTAAGATTTGAATATAAAATCTCCTATTCAAATTCAAGGAGCCCTGGTGGCTCAATGGTTAAGCACTAGAAAGGTCAGCAGTTTGAACCCACTAGTTGCTCCGCAG